GGAACACCTTCCCTTTGTCTACTCCCACAAGGTAGCGTAGGTTGGCGTGATCTGTGCGTACGGTGAAATGATGGAGCGCTACGTAGTCGCACCACTTCTCTACAGCCCGCTTGACGGCGAAGAGCTCTCTCTCTCGTATACCACTTTCTCTCCGCGTCGGTGAACTTCTTAGACGCGAACTCTAACGGGACCTCTCTACCCTCTTGCACCTGCTTCAACACCGCGCCAATGCCAACCTCCGAGGCATCTATTTCGATGATGAGCGGCGCTCCTGGAACTGGCTTGTGGAGCAACGACGCACCGGCTACCGCCTGCTTCAGCTCCATGAATGCCTCTCCTCGAGCATCCGACCAGACGAACAACCTGCCCTTCTTCAGCAGCTCGAACAGTGGGGCAGTGTACTCGGCGAATCGCGGGATGAAGAGTCGTAGATACCCAACGGCTCCTAGGAAGCGCTGCAGTTCCTTCCTTGAGGCGGGGGCGGGGGCATTGAGAACGTTGCCTATCCTCCTCTCCTGGCACGCTATCCCTTGCCGCCCAATCTTGTGACCGAGGTTCTTTACTTCGGGCTTGAGCCACTCGCTCTTATCTAGACCACTCGCCTCTCTCTCTGCACAGTCGCAAGGCCGGTGTCTCTTGACACACATCCACCGGCCTTCTCCAACCGCTGCATCGTTTCCGGCACCGTGTCCGTCGCGACGATGATATCATCAATGTAACACCCTCCTCAAACACCATGTCCATCACGCGCTGGAACTCCGCCGGCGAGTTCTTAATCCCGAAGGGGACAGCCCAAACGGTGTGACGAACGCGGTGAGGTGCTTGCTCTCCTCCGCTATCGGCGCATTTCAGAATTCTGAGTTCATATCGAGAGTCGTGAAGTGCTGACGGCCTGCCGCGGCCCTCAAGCGGTCCCATATCCGGGGCAGCGGATACGAGTCGGCAGTCATGCTCTGGCCCACCCTCCGGTAATCCAAAACGCACCTCCACTCGCCCGTCTTCTTCACGAAGTGCGGCGCGGCGGCCCACTCGCTTTTCGAAGGACGGATGACTCC